ACTATCTTAATCTCTTCCTATTCGTAGACCTTTCTCGATTATTTCCATCTAACGTTTTCTCTAGTTGCACCAAGCAAACATTCTGAAACTCTCAATAATATAAACCAAATTATTGATTATGTAAATATAAACTATTGTAATTTATGCGCGAGAAAAATTCAAGTGTGCACACATGCACACGAAAGTAGGGTTAAGAGATTCTGTGTATTATTAGCCCTTTTAATTGATGACCTTGGTGATAAGCAGATCTGGTCAACTAGTGACATACAATGTATCCATTAAGCTTCACCTAATTAATCTCGTTTAATATCAGTAGCTTGCTTTGCTGGCTTAAAGTTGCCTAATTGTGAGAGTCGGAGCAAACCTTCTCCATGTTCACCGATTCAAACTCATATTGTTTTATTTTTCCTATTAAAACATTTTTACTAGTCTAACCAAACTTATATTTTGTTGCTTCAAAGGGGACTACCACTGATAGCACAATTGGGAAATACTGTAATTTATTTTCGTGGAAAACTCAAGTGGAAAATCATGCACACCGAAGCGAAGAACGTTGGTAACGCATTGTTTCGAAAGGAAATCATCTTAAATCCCTAAAATTCTATCTCATTTCATCCTTTCGAAAACAGCCAAATTTATGTGAATCACATAGATACCACACAAGTGAACATTACTTTTCGGGTGTTGATTTTCTAGATCGGATTTGAGTAGCAAGTACTATTCCGCTCCGAGAAGGCGATGAGACAAAATCGCGAGGTTGAGTTTCGTTTCGAACCATTTTTGGTCTATCGAAAGAAACAAACACATTGTTCGGTTCATATGTGGTACATACCAAAGCAATTATACGCCTCAGTGTCGTTGAATAAGTGTCAACTATTTCCCCATTCACTGATGAAACTTCTTACGAGGCTGACGTGTAGCTAGTTGTAAATTCGTAAAGCTCGCCTCTGAGCTCCCAAATCCGATTTTTCTGTTTTTTTTTTTTCGATCGGCCTTACATTTCCATGTTCAAGATAAAGTATTAGCTAAACCAGTTGCAATGAAATTAAAAATATGTGTGTGGAAAATGAACAATTAGTTGGAAGTTAATCGGTCTACGCAAGTAAGGCATCAAGCGCAGTGTATCTATTCCAAACGATTCTTTACAATGACAGTGGTAGAGATGTTCAGCGTGATATCAAAAAGCGTTACTGATCATGACAAATTAACGAATAATTTGATTTAATTGCAAAATAGGAACTGAACATTTACATGTACATTTCTACGATCAAGGAGAAATAACAGATAAGACTGAAAAAATCGGCCCGCATTGTTCCCCCAGAATTGAAGAAACAAAAATTAAATGTGTAAACATCTTGCCAATGACAATTTCTTGAATGCATTCGATCGAGCTTTATGGAAATAGAAGATGGGATGTAATCAATTTGAATTTCTTTACCCAAAGTATGTTTTCCTACAATAATTATCATCAATAACCCTAGTGTAATGAGTTGATGAAAAAAGCGTAAAATATATAATAATTGCAAATCTGAAAACAGAAACTCATCCCAGTTAAAGTGAAGTGACCGTGAAAAGTATTAGAAAATTACTAAAATGATTATCACTGATTTAAGCATAATATTTTGTCGTCATAATAGTGCCTCGTTCAGGACGTTTTTACGATTAATTTTCTCCACCCCTTTTCCCTCTTCCACTAGATGTTTGGATCTACGAACTGGGTTCTTATTCTATGTATGACCTTGCTCACTTATTTTTGTATCCAGCAGTAAATCATTTGATTAACAAGCGAGTTTGATATGGCTCATGTTCGCATGAATAGTTCGTTGACGGGGAAATATCATAAATGCCTGTAATTTAAACGAAGACACAGAACTTAACTGGAAGAAGGCAAAAAGAGCAACCCAACCACAAACACAATTGTCTTAAGTGCCTTGCTCTCTTTGGTAAGTCTTCCTTCGCCTTCTTGGAGCAGTTTAGAGTGCATGTGCTACCGCTTGGCTTTTCCTTGCGCATGAATTAGACTCGTTCTCAATTCAAGATTTTTTTCTTTGTCCATCACTCGATAAATGTTTCGTGTTTTTTAGGCTGATTATATTAGTTTTGGCACGTTAGATGAGATTTGCATTTAATTAAAAACGTGTACACCAATTCATTTGAAATCTAGTTTGGTTCGGTGCCATGGGCTTTAAGACAAGTATTTTTACCACGGTTTCTTCATTGCCATCATTGCGTGAATCACGGTCAGTTTACTGGTCGCTTTTTTACACTCATGAACGATAACACTGGCCGCCAAAAGTATTCTTTACTATTGTCCAAGAAGAAGAGGTCAGGTTTATCAAAGAGAACAAAGCTCCTCAAATAATTGTGTTTGTGTGTATGCAGCCAAATAGATACTTGGCGCGACAAAACATTTCCATACCTATTGTTGGGACTTTGAAGCCCGTTTCTTCTGCACAATTTCTCCTTGTTCGCGAGGTCTGCAAAGGTTATTTTGTTCAAGTATGGAACAAAAAGAACGAAAAACCACATTGATGATTATAGCGTACGGTCCTACAGAATATTTCCATATCAATCGTTGGGACAGTTTTCATTTTTATTTAAAGACTTTGAAGCCCTTTCTTCCCAATTGAGTATCCTCATGCATATTTCCTCTTCAGTTGTAAGGACCGCACGAGTGTATTTTGATCAAGGATAGGGTGAGAAAAAGAAAAAACCAGCAAGTCCTAAGATAGACGCCACTTTGAAAAATGTTGATAACTCCATGTATTTAGGCAAAAATTCGGCCTTTTTATCACAGCTTCCTTGTCCCTCTGGTTAGGCGGCTTTTGGTGATTCCGATTCGGTTTTTTCCTGTATTGTAGATGGGCTGACAAGTGAAATGATGAGTCATTCTCAGGAAATGCCACTCTCTATCAAAGGCATCTGATTTCCCCTGCCTTTTCCTTCCTCCGTTTTCATGCAGAATTGAATTTGACTTCCACTAAGCTTCCATTCGACATGATAAACCTTTTCTTGCCTAATTTTATAAATACAACAAACAAAACCAGCAGAGAAAGCTTCACGGTAGACGTTCCATTTGTGATTGGTTCAATCTTACGCTTGTTTGTTTATTTCTTAATCTCATGAAAGGAAATGTTTCTGCTTCGCGGTTATGATAAATTAGCCTTTTAAACTTTTTGATCTCACGTTGAATGTTTACAGCTGTGTGAATCTTTACAGAACATCAAAGATTACACTAGTTTAGCGCATTAAAGAAATGTTTTGAAGTTAATCATAACTATTACAAATTCCTCAAATATCATTGGTGCATATGCATCTTCATTTTGTAGCATTGAAAGTAACCAGAGGTTTTATGATAATGCTATAAGGTACTTTGAGGAAGATTTGTCCCGCATACTTGTGAGGGCTCTGCTCCACAAAAGAAATATGATTCAATAACAATAATAATAATAATTTACCAATTTATATAGCGCGTATTTACATGTGCTGATCAATAGCGCTTTACAATCATATGTTTAAAAGAAAACGAAAATACATTACCGTTAGAATAAAATAAACTAAGTTACAAACTATAAAAAATACTTCTTAAAAAGATAGGTTTTAAGTCGAGATTTAAAACTGTTAAGTGATGTTGCTTGACGAAGCTCCACAGGTAGCTCATTCCAGAGTTTCGGAGCTGCTGCTGAGAATGATCTTGCTCCCAATGTTGTAAGCATCTTTCCCTTGGGATGGTCCAATAAGAGCTTACCAGTAGACCTAAGATTATATAATGAATTCGATTTTATACTAATAAGATCGCTAAGATAAGTTGGCGCTAGGCCATAAATACATTTGAAAGTCAAAAGTAAAATCTTATAGTCAATACGCAAAGAAACTGGCAGCCAGTGCAGCTCATAAAGCGCCGGTGTAATGTGAGAAAACTTTCCAAAGCGAAGAATAAGTCTTGCTGCTACATTTTGTACACGCTGTAATTTAGCGATCTGCACATTTGGTAAGCCAAACAATAAACCATTACAATAGTCAAGACGGCCGGTTATAAAAGCATGAGCCAAAGTAATTAAAGAATCTCTCGACAGGTATTTCTTAATACGTCTCAAGTTATGTAAATGATAAAATGCCGCATTACAAGCCTTGTTTATATGATCAGTCATGCTGAAGTTGCTGTCAAACCAGGATCCAAGATTTCTAACACGTGGGCTTGGACTGATACGATTATTGCCCACAGTTATGGAACACGAATCTAATTTATCAAGCTGTTGTCGTGTGCCGACTAACAAAAACTCCGTTTTATCATCATTGATCATCAACCGATCTAGAATCATCCATTTCCTCACCGCGTCAATGCACTTTTCTATAGCTTGTATAGCATCAGCTTGAGCAGTGTTGCCGAGTGGTTTAAAACTCAGATTCAGCTGCGTATCATCAGCGAAACAGTGAGCATCAGGAAGATAATGTTCCACGATCTTAAACAGCTTGGACGCATATATTATGAATAGCAAAGGCCCTAAACATGAGCCTTGGGGTACCCCGCAGTTCAAGTCAAAAGGACGAGAAAGAACTCCATGTACAGAAACGCGCTGACTTCTATCAGACAAGTACGATCTAAACCAATTCAGAGCAGTCCCACGTGTGCCAACCTCGTCAGATAGCCTCTCTAAAAGTATTCGATGATCAACAGTGTCAAAGGCAGCACTGAGATCCAATAAAATTAACATAGTGACATGTTGAGAGTTCATCTTTAACAAAATATCGTTCATCACCTTGATAAGTGCAGTTTCAGTGCTATGGAATTGCCTATAAGAAGATTGAAGCGTAGGAAAAATAGCATTTGAAACCATGTGATGGTAAACTTGATTAAAAACGACTTTTTCAGTCAACTTGGATACGTATTGCAAGTTACTAACTGGTCTATAATTTTTGTACAGCAAATCCAATCCAGGTTTCTTCAAGATAGGATTAATAAGCCCACATTTCCAATCATCCGCAAATTCTCCAGAATTAAGAGACAGGTTGATCATTTTAGTAATGACTGGTAATAGCACATCAGCACAGCTGATTACCATAGATGTTGATATCGGATCAAACATACAGCTTTTCTTAGGAGAGCAGCCAATCAACTTACTAACAGCACTTTCAGTTAAAGGGATAAAGCTGTCCAGTGTTCTAGTTGGTAGCGTTTTCACATAGTCAAAATGAGAATCATGCAAACAATCGGCTAGTCTATCCAGTTTGACATGGATGGCGTCAATCCTTTCAACAAAGAAGCTACCCATTTCATTGGCTAAAACCAGCTTGTCACTAGTTGGTGGAAAAGTTGCTTCATGACCTTGATTTAGCAACCTCTTTGTTGCCGAGAATAGGTTCCTTTGATTGGAGTTACTTTCAACAATAAAGTCTGAGTAAAACTTACGACGGGCTTCATTCATCAGGTAGGTTGTAAAGTTCCTCTTCTAACGTAACGTAGTGAATAACTGACACTCAACCATTCCTTAAATGGTAACAAATGACCACACTAATAATAACGATAATAATGATGATGACAACAAAAGTTACAGTAATGATAACTTATAGGGGCTAACTCAATAACCTCACTGTTCTCTGTCGGTGTATCCCTGGGTTTCAATAATGTTTAAACTAGCCTCTATTTAATTTTGATTTGCTAGTTAATTATAAATCATTTTCTAATTTCATTGTAATTGTGAGACTTTTGTTTTATACTGCCATTCCATCATTCCATGGAATGCCATCACCTTGTTGAACTCAACGAATTGTATTTCGGACCTTGCTCGCTTCGCAAATTTAGCAGCTTTTTTGAGCATTTTGTCGCTGATTGCAGTGGTAAAATGATCTCTTTGCGAATAAGAAAATTTTTCTTCAAAGTTTCCGCGATGTGCAGATCAAACCTTTTTTAGATATTTCTGCAAGGAAAAGTCTTTTTTCCGATTACTTGCCGGAGACGCCACTTGATTATTTTGCGATGTTTATCATCTATTGTATTGTCACGGTTAGCGCTGAAAAAAATTATATGTTCGAATCTACTGCAAAAATCTTTCCTCTCGATTTTCATGATGTACCGATCACTCCTTTTAGGACATTTCTGCAAGATAAAGCTTTCTTTTTTCACGCGCCATTCTAAAATGATTCTGAGATGTTTTTCTTGCTTTTTTCAGTACACGACGGGACAACAGTGAGTAGCACGGAACAGTGTGATCACCTGCTAATATTCCGTGTAACACTCGAAGCAATTCGAGGAAATTCGAAGAAACATCACCAATTGAGCGTTGAACGACCGAAGTTGTTCAGAAGCAAACCAAAGCCAAGAGCGAGAAAAATCTGGCAAAACTGGATATCGGGTAAAACTGGACAGAGAGATCGTTCAAATTCTATTGTTACACTAATTCACTCAACAGGACAACATTATGGCTTCGCCTTCACAGGAGGCAGTAGCCATAAAAAGCAAGTCAAATGATCTACTTTTTCTAAAACACATGTACATTCAGAAATGAGTCAAGTGCTTCTTCAACAGAGCATGCGCACTATCAAGAAAATTGAGCCTGCATAAATATCAGCGGCATTTGTGTTTGTTAACTTGAAGTTTCAACACTTGTCGCTCGGAAGTCTAGAAAACAAGATCTCTGTCGGCTGTTATGTTGTAATGTCTCGCGCAGAAAAAACTGGATGTGACATCATTGGGTCAGCTTATTCAAGAACATACGTTTTCCACTGTCCACACGACGCCGTATTCAATGCATACTTTAAAAAAATTCATTCCGAGACACGTTTTCAAAAAGATTGCATAATCATCAACCGTATTCATTGGGTACGTGTGGACGGAAGGCCAATCAAAATTAAAAGTATCTGCATACGTGTGAACGGAGTTTATGCTATTGGGAGTTTAAAAAAATTTTTTTGGTGCCACTTGAGGAAAGTTGAATAGACAGAATAAACGAGAAAAGTATAGGAATAGGGAAAGATTAGAAAGTTGGCACGAATATTGGCAATATCCTCTTAGGGGGCAAATCAATGCTGATGCAATGAGCTAAAGACTTATTGAAGTTTACTGCATAAATTGTGGATAACATTTTTTGTCGCAACTTTGATCTTAATGTTCCACTGGGGAAATCTACATGTTTTTAATGAATCACCGGTCGTGATCAAAAACGGAACGGTGACGGAAAAATAACTTTTGTTCGTCCAGTGGCAATTTTACATATGTACTTATCAAGTTGTCAACCATTTCTTTTACATTGCCCTCCTTCACTGGATACCTGCATCCATGACCTGCGTTCTCGATCGAAATATGACCTTTCTCATTTCTTTTTGTCTCCAACAGTAAATCAGTGGATTAACAAGTGAGTTTAACATGGCACACGTTTGCGTCAATTTTGGGAATGGGGCAAATATCACAAAGGCCTGTAGCAGTAACGATAAGACAGAAACAAAGTGGCAGAAGGCAAACAACAACAGCACCAATTACGAACACAGTTTTTTTAAGCACCTTGTTCTCTCTGGTAAATCTTTTCACTTCTTTTTGGGGCAATTGTTCAGTTTTAATCTTTTCTTGTTGAAGACGTGTTTCTCGATACGCTACGAAGTAGGCGAAAGCAAGGAAAAGAATACACGAAAGGATGAGAAGGCCAGACAAAGAACGTAAAACTAGGGACATTTTTAGAACTCTAAAAACCCCAATGATAAAAGCAAGGATCCAAGCTACTAACACTGCTCTCTTCATTTTTTCATCATTTATGTTTGGGTATTGCATCGTAAATTTGATCGCAGAGTCTCTCGAGAGTAACCAACATCAGATGAAAGTATGAAGCTGTTACAATCACAATTGCAGTTGTGAAATAACAATTTTCAATTGTTCCACTGTCACTGAGACCGAATAATTGGAAAATCTTCGACAAGACAAACAATGGTTGGCCAAGGAGACCAGTTAAGGAGTCAGTCACCGCTAAACAGGCCAGCAAGATGTTGCTGTTGGTGCGGAGTCGAGGCGTCGATTTTATAGCTTTTATCACCAGTAGGTTGAGTAGAACTGTGAAGGGACAAGTGATGGTGTTGATGATTATTATGATTATAAAACCTGCCACCGAAGGGACATCTGTTGTGTCGCCTTCTCTACTGGTTGTATTTGTAGCATTTGTAGAATTAGCCGAGGAGAAGGTTGCCATGTTGAATTAGACGCTTAATCCAAGTAAACTAGGTTTTTCGTTAAAACTGTTTCTTTTAGACGTTTGACCTTGCATGAAATCAGTGGAAGATGACGGCAGAGGAAATCTGGCTGCTCTTTTGTAATAATTCAAAAATCGCCTGGGAATGAGTACTCAGTCCACATGTGCACAAGAACAATAAAGAACAAAGCAAATCGGAAACGCAAAACTATAAACGAAAAACTGACCGCGTAACACAAGGTGACCACTTTATACGGTTCCGCGGTTTTGTTTAATAATGATCTTAAGCAATTGCTCTTTATCAAATTCGAATTCATCATTACAAGAACCCAGAAATGACCAGAGACAAAAATCTCAAACTTGTAATTTTCCCCTATTCTTGGCCAACCTTTAAATCTTTCCATAGAGTTATATCTTTCTTGTTTATTAGTCCCATTTAACCTTTCTCTTTAGTCGAACCAAACTAACATTTTGTAATATTCAGTGAAATAAAAACGTTGCTGATTATGTTTGTGTGGAAAATTGTACTTTATGCGCGAGAAAAAGTAAAGTGGAACATTAAGTTCCTACGATGTGCAGATTAAACCTATTCAGATTTTTCTGGAAGGAAAAGTCTCTTTTTCAATTACGTACCGCAGACGCCAATGTGAAATTATTTTTTGATGTTTATCACTAGTTTTAGTGCCACAGTTAGAACTGAAAAATTGTATCTTCGGATCTATTGGGAATAACTCGCTGATTTAAACAGCAAAGTACTCCCTATTTAGAGAAAAAGTTTTTGCTATAAATTTTCATAATGCGTAGATCACTCCGTTCAAAACATTTCTGCAAGGTAAAGCTTTATTTTTTCACTCGCTGTTTTGAAATGATTGAAAGATGTTCATCGTTTTCAGTAGCACACTACGAGGCAAACAGTAAGTAGCACCGAAAAACAGTTTGATTATCTGCTAATATTCCGTGTAAAATTCGAAGCAATTCTCAGAAATCGTCACTAAATGAGCGTTGAAAGACCGAAGATGATCCGAAAAAACAAAAGCCAATAGTAAGAAATATTGAGTAAAACTCGGCAGACCTCGTTGTGGATGATCGCGAAGAGGTCGTTCGTATTCTATTGTTACCCTCACTCACGCAACAGGTCAGCATTATGGCTTCGCCTCCATAGGAGGCAGTAGCCATAAAAATTAAGTCAAATGATTTGCTTTTTCTAAATCACTTGTAAATCAAGCGATGAGTCAAGTGAATGAGGGCCTAAGTGATCGATTCGCTCCACTTTTATGTGCACGTGTTCCCATGACTTTTCATCGCGCATGGATTACAGCAGTTGATTTAAATAAACAATAATTATATTTATGGCCATTTCCACACATATCTGGATATTTTTCAATCTGCAACTTTCTCAATGCATATTTACAAAAAAATATCGCCTCCACAAATACCGCCATCGAATCGTTTTAGTCCGTCCTCACGTACCCGATATGTATCCGGATATATCAACACTTTTTTCAACAGAGCATGCGCACTATCAAGAAACTTTAGCCTGCGATAAATATAATTGGCATTTGTGTTTGTTAAGTTGAAGTTTCAACACGTGTTGTTCGGAAGTCTAAAAACAAGATCTCTGTTGGCTGTCATATCGTAATGTCTCCTGCAGGAAGGACTTGATGTCACATCGTTACGTCACTGTATACGTTTCAAAAAGGTTGCAAAATCATCAACCGTATTCACCGGGTACGTGTGGCCGAAAGGCCAATCAAAAGAATTTATCTGCATACGAGTGAACGGGTTGCATGCTATTGGGAGTTAAAAATATATACCTTTGGTGCTACTTGAGGAAGGTTAAATAAGCAGAATAAACGAAAAAAGTATTACATAAGAATAGGGAAAGATAGAAAGTTGGCATGAATACTGGCAATAACCTTTCGTGGGCTAATTTAAGCTTGTACAGTGAGCTAAAGAGTTACTGAAGTATACTGCATAAATTGTGGATAGCTCATTCATTTTTTTGTGGCCACTTTGATCTTAATCTTACACTGGGGAAATATGCATGTTTTTCATAGATCACCAGTCGTGATCTAAAATTTAACGGTCAAAAAAAAGCCAATAACCACAGAGTTTTGTTCATCCAGTGGCTTCAAAAGACGAAAGCAAAATTTCACATGTCTACTTATTAAGTTGTCAACCATTTCTTTTACATTGCCCTCCTTCACTGGATACTTGCAACCACGACCTGCGTTCTTAATCGAAATATGACCTTCCTCATTTCTTTTTGTCTCCAGCAGTAAATCAGCGGATTAACAAGTGAGTTCAACATGGCACATGTTTGCGTCACCGGTGCGATGGTAGGGCAAATATCACAAAAGCATGTAACTAACAGAATAAGACAGAAACAAAGAGGCAGAAGGCAAATAATAACAGCACCAACTACAAACATAGTTGTTTTAAGCGCCTTGTTCTCTCTGGTAAATCTTTCCACTTCTTGCTGGGGCAATTGTTGAGTTTTAATCTTTTCTTGTTGAAGACGTGTTTCTCGATACATAATGAAGTAGGCGAAAGCAAGGAAAAGAATGCACGAAAGAGTCAGAAGGACAGAAAAAATACGTACAACTAAGGACACGTTTAGAGCTCTAAAAACCCCAATGATAAAAGCAAGGATCCAAACTGCTAACACTGCTCTCTTCATTTTTTCATCAGTTATAAAGTTTGGGTATTGCATCGTAAATTTGATCGCAAGGAGTCTCTCGAGAGTAACCAGCATCAGATGAAAGTATGAAGCTGTTAGAATCACAACTACAGTTGTGGCAAAACAATTTTCAACTGTTCCACTGTCACTGAGACCGAATAATAGGAAGATCTTCCACAGGACAAACAATGGTTGGCCAAGGAGACCAGTTAAGGCGTCAGTCACCGCTAAACAGGCCAGCAAGATGTTGCTGTTGGTACGAAGTCGAGGCGTCGACTTTACAGCTTTTATCACCAGTAGATTGAGTATAACTGTGAAGGGACAAGTAATGGTGTTGATGATGATTACATTTATAGCACCAGCCACCGAAGGGACATCTGCTTTGTCGCCTTCTCTACTGATTGTATTTGTAGCATTTGTAGAATTAGCCGAGGAGAAGTTTACCATGTTGGATTGGAAGCTTGATCCAATTAAACTAGGTTTCTCGTAAAAACTGTTTCTTTCAGACGTTTGACCTTGCATGAAATCGGCGGAAGATAATGGCAGAGGAAGTCTGACTTTCCTTTTGTAATGAATGACTTAAAAATCTCCTGGGAATGAGTACTCAGTCCACATGTGCACAAGAACAATAAAGAACAAAGCAAATCGGAAACGCAAAACTGTAAACGAAAACTGACCGCCTAATTCAGGGTGACTGCTTTGTACGGTGCCACTTAATACAAGATAGACTTAAGAAATAACAATTCAGTTCAATAATGATCTTAAGAAAATGATCTTTATAAAATTTGAATTCATGATTACAAGCACCAGGGTTGACCAGAGAGACAAAACTCAAACGTAGAATTTTCTTCTTTTCGTTGCCAACCTTTAAATCTATCCCTGGTGTTATATCTTTCTTGTTTATTTGTGCCATTCAACCTTTTTCTTTGGTCGAACCAAGCTAACATTTTGTAATATCCAGTAAAAAAAAAGTCTTTTTGATGATGTAAATATAGACTATTGTATTTTTATGCGCGAGAAAGAGTAAAGTGTGAACATTCAGTTCCAACGATGTGCAGATCAAATCTATTTCGGTACATCTTCAAAGAAAAGTCTTTTTTTTTTTAATAACTTGCTGGACTCGCCATTATTTTGCGATATTTATCATTTATTGTAGTGTCTCGGTCAGAATTGAAAAAATTATATCCGTTGATCTACTGGGAATAATTTGCTGATTCAAACGGTAAAATAATCCTTCTTTAATGAGAAAAACTTTCTTCTCAATTTTTATGATGCGCCGATCACTCCTTTTAATACATTTCTGAAAGGCGAAGCCTTTCTTTTTTTTTACGCCATTCTGAAATGATTGTGAGATGTTCATTGTCACACGTAGTACGTACACTACGAGACAAACAAGAAGTATCACCGAAAAACATTGTGATCACCTGCTAATATTCCTTGTATAACATTAGAAGCGATTCGAGGAAATCGTCACTTATCAAGAGTGGAACGACCGAAGATATTCCGAAACAAACAAAAGCTAAGAGCGAGGAATATCAGGTAAAACTTGGCAGACTTCGTTTTGGACGAAGAGGTCGTTCGCAATCTCATGTTGTCTTCGCCTTCATAGGAAGCATTAGCAAAAATATCAAGTCAAGTGATTTGCTTTTTTTAAACTACGTGTACATCCAGCAATGAGTCAATTGAATAAGGGCTTATCGATTTGCTCCACTTTTATGTACATGTATTCCCACTTGAATTTTCCTCGGGCATGAATTACATCAGTTGATATTTATACTGATAATCAATAAATATATGCTATTTGCCAGCCGGGAGGTCCGTATTGGGGATAAATGTGCCCGAGATCCGGCCTTGGGCGGTACTCAAGACAGAGGGCACAGTTTTTCCCAATACGGATCGACCTACGCTAGTGAATAATATCTTTATTTTTTCCTCAAACTTAACGAAATTCTTTCCAAAAGAACCTGAATGATAGATTTAGGGCTGTTATGACGGCTAGATCTTCCATAAACTGAATAATTTTTGAGCGAGTAAGTGGTAGTAAAAATAGAGGTGATGCAAATTAAAGAGAGAAGCTTCGCCGAAACGTTTTTATTTGCTCAATGATAGAGGCGATTTAAAAGGCTTCCAAACTAAACTTTGAAACATTGTTTTTACAAGTATCTGTCACAATCTGACACCTCTTCATTAGAGAGCGCGTAAGAAATAAAATCGCATGTATACTTTTGAAAAACAACGGAGCTAGTTTGGCAAGGACTGTCACGACAATGTTTTCTTCAAAAACCGTTAATGATCTTGCGGAAAGTATTATTCACTCTCATCGACGATTAATGAATGTACGCAGATTTACCTCTGTTCAATAAGTAAATGGCAAGGAAAGTAATCGTAAGTAAATTCAGATTTTTTATTTTGAAGTTGTGAGAGTGCTTGTTTGTTCGCTGCCATGGCGTGTATAGATCTGGTCTTTCCTCCGCAAAAACTAATTCGAATGATAAACTTCAACCGTAGACACATGGGGATTCGAATGCGGCTTTTTCTTATTGAGTTCTTTTAGTTTCTGTTGAGTAATTTACGGTACAAATGTCCAAATTGAACGGACTTGGAAAGACTCACCAAAAGCTTATTTGTTGTAGAACTGATAACTTCGCTCGCCCTTTTACTACGAAGAAATCCTTTGAGAGAATTCAGATATTAAATGAATGAAAGCTCCATCGGTTAATTCAACTGTAACCAAATACCTCACGTTTTAACTTTAACTTTTTTAACAAAGCAAATCGGAAACGCAAAACTGTAAACGAAAAACTGACCGCGTAACACAAGTTGACCGCTTTGTACGGTTCCGCTAAATACAGGGTAGACTTAAGAAATATCAATTCTGTTTAATAATGATCTTAAGCAAATGCTCTTTACCAAATTCGAATTCATCATTACAAGCGCCAGGAATGACGAGAGACAAAAATCTCAAACTTGTAATTTTCCCCTATTCTTGGCCAACCTTTAAATCTTTCCATATCTTTCTTGTTTATTAGTTCCATTTAACCTTTTTCTTTAGTGGAACCAAACTAACATTTTGTAATATTCAGTAAAATATAAAAACGTTGCTGATTATGTTAATGTGGACTATTGTACTTCATAGGAGGCAGTAGCCATAAAAATTAAGTCAAATGATTTGCTTTTTCTAAATCACTTGTACATCAAGCAATGAGTCAAGTGGGTAAGGGCCTAAGTGATCGATGCGCTCTCCTTCTATGTGCACGTGTTCCCACTTGACTTTTCCTCGCGCATAAATTACAGAAGTTGATTTAAATAACAATAATTATATTTATGGCCATGTCCACACATATCTGGATATTTTTCAATCTGCAACTTTCTCAATGCATATTTACAAAAAAATATCGCCTCCACAAATACCGCCATCGAATCGTTTTAGTCCGTCCTCACGTGCCCGATATGTATCCGGATATATCAACACTTTTTTCAACAGAGCATGCGCACTATCATGAAACTTGAGCCCGCGATAAATATAATCGGCATTTGTGTTTGTTAAGTTGAAGTTTCAACACGTGTTGTTCGGAAGTCTAAAAAACAAGATCTCTGTTGGCTGTCATATCGTAATGTCTCCTGCAGGAAGGACTTGATGTCACATCGTTACGTCACTGTATACGTTTCAAAAAAGTTGCAAAATCATCAACCGTATTCACCGGGTACGTGTGGCCGGAAGGCCAATCAAAAGAATTTATCTGCATACGAGTGAACGGGTTGCATGCTATTGGGAGTTAAAAATATATACCTTTGATGCTACTTGAGGAAGGTTAGATAAGCAGAATAAAAGAAAAAAGTATTACATAAGAATAGGGAAAGATAGAAAGTTGGCATGAATACTGGCAATAACCTTTTATTGGCTAATTTAAGCTGGTACAGTGAGCTAAAGACTTACTGAAGTGTACTACATAAATTGTGGATAGCTCATTCATTTTTGTGTGGCCACTTTGATCTTAATCTTTTCATAGATCACCAGTCGTGATCAAAAATTTAACGGTCAAAAAAAGCCAATAACCACAGAGTTTTGTTCATCCAGTGGCTTAAAAGGCGAAAGCAAAATTTCACATGTTTACTTATCAAGTTGTCAACCATTTCTTTTACATTGCCCTCCTTCACTGGATACCTGCAACCACGACATGCGTTCTTGATCGAAATATGACCTTTCTCATTTCTTTTTGTCTCCAGCAGTAAATCAGTGGATTAACAAGTGAGTTTAACATGGCACATGTTTGCGTCACCGGTGCAATGGTAGGGCAAATATCACAAAAGCATGTAAATAAAAGAATAAGACAGAAACATAGTGGCAGAAGGCAAATAATAACTGCACCAACTACAAACATAGTTGTTTTAAGCGCCTTGTTCTCTCGGGTAAATCTTTCCACTTCTTGTTGCGGCAATTGATGAGTTTTAATCTTTTCTTGTTGAAGACATGTTTCTCGATATATAATGAAGTAGGCGAAAGCAAGGAAAAGAATGCACGAAAGAGTCAGGAAGACAGAAAAAAAACGTACAAATAAGGACATGTTTAGAACTCTAAAACCTCCAATGATAAAAGCAAGGATCCAAACTGCTAACACTGCTCTCTTCATTTTTTCATCAGTTACAAAGTTTGGGTATTGCATCGTAAATTTGATCGCAAGGAGTCTCTCGAGAGTAACCAGCATCAGATGAAAGTATGAAGCTGTTAGAATCACAACTACAGTTGTGACAAAACAGTTTTCAACTGTTCCACTGTCATTGAGACCGAATAATAGGAAGCTCTTCCACAGGACAAACAATGGTTGGCCAAGGAGACCAGTTAAGGCGTCAGTCACCGCTAAACAGGCCAGCAAGATGTTGCTGTTAGTACGGAGTCGAGGAGTCGATTTCACAGCTTTTATCACAAGTACGTTGAGTAGAACTGTAAAGGGACAAGTGATGGTGTTGATGATGATTACATTTATAGCGCCCGCCATCGAAGAGACATCTGCTGTGTCGCCTTCTCTACTGGTTACATTTGTTACATTTGTAGAATTAGCCGTGGAGAAGTTTACCATGTTGAATCGGAAGCTTGATCCAAGTAAACTAGGTCTCTCGTAAAAACTGTTTCTTTCAGACGTTTGACCTCGCATGAAATCGGCGGAATATGAAGGCAGAGGAAATCTGACGTTTCTTTTGTAATGACTTAAAAATCTCCTGGGAATGGGTACTCAGTCCACATGTGCACAAGAACAATAAAGAACAAAGCAAAATGGGAAAAGCAAAACTGTTAACGAAAACTGACCGCTTAATTCAGGGTCACGGCTTTGTACGGTTCCGCTTAATACAGGGTAGACTCATGGAATATCAATTCAGTTCAATAATGGTCTTAAGCAAATGCTCTTTATCAAATTCGAATTCATGATTACAAGCACCTTGGATGGACAGAGAGACAAAACTCAAACATGGAATTTTTTCCTATTCGTTGCCAACCCTTAAATCTCTCTATAGTGTTACATCTTTCTTGTTTATTCGTCCCATTTCACCTTTTTCTTTAGCTGCATCAACCTAACATTTTGTACCATCCAATAAAATAAAAAAGTGTTGTAGATTATGTAAATCTAGACTATTGTATTTTATGCGCGCGAAAAAGTCAAGTGGGAACATACGCCAGCGTAAGTGGAACGAATCGATAAAAAGTCAAGTGGGAACATACGCCAGCGTAAGTGGAACGAATCGATAAAAGAGCTGTATGTAATTCAGTTAAAAGAGCCTGTCACTTTCCCTTTAATGTTTTTTGGTTCAATACCTACTTGATTAAACCTAAAGATGAAAACATCCAGAAAGGATGCGTATAAAAGACAAAATTCGAACCTGTGAATGATAAGAGATTCTGTTTAGACGCTAAGCTCTTTACAGATGCCCTTCGCTTAATCAAAATATCGATAGAAATGTATTCGTTATACTGGAGCTTCACCCGAGTGATGTTGGTTTATTAGCAGCTTACCTTGCCGTCTTAATGTTGCGTTATTGTGGGAGATAAACTAATTGTTAACGTTCGATCGAAATCGGTGCCCATCATCTCCATATTCACCTATTCCAGCTCTTTTTGGATTATGTTTCCTATTCAAACTTTTTTATTAGTCCAACGAAACTAATATTTTGTGGCTTCCGAACAATAAACGCTCATTACATAATCAGGAATTATTTTAATTTAAGCACGAGAAGAGGTCCAGTGGAAAAACGTGCACATTGAAGCGCTGGTCAGTCAAAGCCTACAAAACAGCTTGAAAGATCTTACACATTGTTTCTCTGGAAAAAATCATTAAACCTCACATCTGCCTTAATTTATTTCGTATGAAGATCCTAAATTTATTTGAATTAACGTAAATTAATCAGTGTTAGAATGGTTAAAAGACTGATTTCAACCCAGTTAAGCAAGGATTTGGTTTTGCTTGTCACAACATAAGGGGGCTAGAAGTTACATATCTAATGCAATATACCCATCATGCACCCATGGAAAACATACAGAAATTTGCTTTTAAAAATCTAGACGATACCATCCGCACCCTTTCAGCAATGTCATTCCTGTAAATACTCAGTGACGTTATCTCGCGATAATCCTCGCGAACTATTTCCCATTTACCGGTTAAATTTTTTCATGAGGTTGAAACACATCCTTTAATCTATTTTAAAGCTCGCCTTCATAGATATAAGATCAAATGAAATATACATCTTCGATCGGATTCACGGTAGGTACGCTCACGGATTGTCATGTAGAGGGTAAAGAGTGCGGCAAATATCAACTCGTATTTGCGTCAGCAAAGAACGTTTCGGTGAAGACATTTTTTCGTTGATGTAAAACAGCCACTTAGTTTCACCAGAGTATGCCAGTTTGCATCAAAAAAATTATGGTGGGTAAACTTTCGAGTGCAGTTGTTTGTTGCTTCAAAGTATCGTTTACGATCAAATGGAAGAAAAATCGTCAAATAGATTAACGGCAGCTATACTTAATATTATCGTTTGAAAAATATAGAGTGCGGCAAATATCAGCTTATATTTGTGACAGCGGATTAGGTTTTCTCGAAGCCATTTCTTTCCTGGCAGAAAAAACTGCCTCGCCGTCTCACTTATCGGCTCTACGTGTATTTGATTCTGTCGGAAGACAGTCCTTCTTGTTTTGGTTTAACTCGTTAATATTTTGATTGGTTACCTGCTTTTTTCTGGAAATGGAGTGAAGCGCAACTAATCAGGGGGTTTTTTGGTTTTCAACAGCCTCCTCGTCCTCGAGCAGGCGTCTCATCGCCCTTCCCCCACCCCCTACCCCCCACCGTCCACTCTAACTCCAAATCAAATATGGCCGCACTGATAAACGATGCGAGCTTTAACGTTAGCTCGACCTAATAAGACGCCTGCATTGCAAGCTATCATAGACCCCAATTCCATAATTTTTCTTTTATTCGAACCGCTCAACAAAATGTCTGTTCAAGGAATTTATCAGTTATACCATTACTAGAAATGGAATTAAACACATGTGAGAGAAGATGAGCCATTAGTTAGCAATTTATCATTCTATTCAAGAAAGAGATCATGCGCAATGTATTTATTACAAATGATTCTTAAAGGTTTTATACATTTCCAGCGTGATATCAAAGACCTTTGCATTAAAACAAATTTACGGATAATTTTTCTAAACCATTAACCGCAAACTGAGCTTTCCTTTGATGTGATCAAGAAAGAAAAGAAAAAAATGTAGGGAAAATCGGCCGGCTAGGATATTTATTTTGCTTATTTTCAACGGATCTATCTTTGTGAAAAAGATATGGTAATTTAGTATAATCAACTGAGTTGATAACGTAAATTGGCCACCGTAAAGAATATCGTGAAAAAAGTAGCGACCGTACCCCCAAAAAGACTTTTGTGAGAAAAAGACTGTGGATGCAATTAATTTGGCTTTCTTGAACCATGGAAAAACTATCATTGAGACATTACGAGCATCGAATTGATGGTAAATGCGTTGATTTTATACATGTTAAAGCGATAAAAAAACATATTGAGTTAAAAATGAAGCGATCATCGTCTTGATAATTGACATGCTGCTAGTATGCTAATCGCCCTGCAAAAGGAAGTGGCTGACAAGGGGCTACCTGAAAGGCTCTTATTACAAATAAAACATTTCAAGGAACAAAACATTGCTAGCCAACAGTACTGCAACTTGTCTGTAGTTTTTAGGAAACGATGCAAATCCGACACACTTATTGGAATTACTTGGCCTCAAGCGTCAGGAAAAACCAAACCATATTATAACTCGATACATGACTAAGTAGGCGTTAGCAAGGAAAAGAATACGCATGATAATGAAGGGCCTGTAAAGGAACGTGCTATTACGAACAATTTCATCTCTCTTCAAATCCCATGAAAAAGCAATGATTTAAACTACTAATAACATTTTCAATTTTAATTTCAATGAGTCTCTCGGAATCAATCAAAGAAGCAACAAGCATCACAACACGCGGAATGTTTCAGTTTGCGTGCGATGCGCGGGATCAATTAAAAAAAAAAATTCCGTCGCTCGAGAAATTTTTCCCGTGCCCTCCCCGTAACTGAGATCAGTATTTGAAGAGGAAGTGAGAAAATTACCCGTGTTAAAAGTGCTTGTTCGATACGAAGAGCAAAAAAGTGGCTAATGGGTAATAAATGGCGGCGTTCAATTTCAAGAGTCTGGAGTGTAGTCTGGGGCGTTTCCTCGCTGTTTCGCTGATTTGTGCCCTTGGCGGTCCGTTGTCGCATGGCTCTCCTGTTGCTGTGTTTTTTGCGGATCGTGGGCATCCATACCTCTGGAATTTTAATTCCACCGTTTCTATTGATGTTATCAGAGTGTATGTGAATTGCCTCTTTGACCTTACGTGTGTAGTAATGAAGATCACGATCAATAAACTTAACCTCGTTCCAGTAGACTGGCTGATGTCCGGCGTTGTGGTCTTGCTATGAAACGGCGAAGTTATTAGAGATATTTCTTCTTGTCGCTTAAAATTCTTAGTTGTACGAGCTCTGCCTGGCCTTCTCACTATTTCATCTGTTCTTTTCCTTGCATTCGCTTACTTCATCATGTATCGTGAAACACATGCGTCACCAAGAGAAGATAAAAACACAACAAATGCCCCAGATAGAAGCAGAAAGATTTACCAAAGAGAACAAGGCACTTGAGACAACTGTCTTTGCAGTTGGGGCTGTTAGCGAACCCTGTGCGATAGCATTTTCTATTAGCCGATCAAATGACGTATCCAATAACACCTAAAACAATCAAATTTTCTTCATTAAATTGTCATGTTGTTATGACAATAAATTATCGAATCACGTCTTCCGATCAAAAATTTAACTGTGATATAAAAAAATTACTAAGGAATTTCGTTTATCGGTGGAATCGAAAAAAGGTTAAAGTAAAACCTTGATATCTTTTCGAGTTCTAAACTCTTTCCTTTATATCCTACTTTGCTGGATGTCTACACGCACGACCTGGGTTCTTATTCCAATACTGACCTTTCTCAGTTCTTTTTTTCTTCAGTAGTACTGAAATCAGTGGATTAACAAGCGACTTAAGCATGATGCATCATGTTGCATCAATGGTACGTTGATGGGGCAGAAATCACAAAGGCCTCTTGCAGCAACAATAAGACAGAAATAAAGTGGATGGCAAAGAAAACCAGCACCGAATACAAACATCTTCAGTTTAAAGAGCAGTCGCTGCTCTTTATCTTCTCTTGGCGGCAAACTGCTACTAGATATATGATGAAAAACGCCAAAGCAAGAAACAGATTACAGGAAATGGCGAGAAGAACAAAGCTAAAACGAAAATGCTAAACGCCACCCAATAAGATGGATTTCCCTCAAGCTCTGCTCATAAATTAATCTTAATCTAAAAGTGATTGAGGACAGTTTTTAATCAGTTTTTTCCAGATATTGCCAAATTTGTTTTTAAAAGTCAAAATCGTTTCAGCCCCTTATAGCCTGATCGCCTGTTCACTTATTTCATCACATAATTCAGGACTTTTTCCCTACCATCTCTCGATAAATGTTTGGTGTTCCATGAGCTGAATAATTCTCTTTCGTTAGATTAGATTTGCATTCAAATAAAAACTAAATCTGTAAGATATAAATCAATTTATTTGACATCTGTTTTGGTTTGGTTTTTATATCGTGGCTATTTCATCGCCACTTATTAGCGAATCATTGTGACTTTATAGCTCACCGTTTTAGGTTCGTCAGCGAGGACTTTCATTAAAAATATCGATAAATTTGACTCCAGTCTCATATTCGGTGCCGTGGTTTAATAATTTACGTTGTGCTAATGTGTAAAACACTTTCTTCTACGCAGTCTTCTGTTATTTGAATCATCTTAACAGGTATGGGAGGGGAAAAAGAAAAAATACAAGTTGAGCACAGTTCATTCATGTTTTAATGATGCAAACCGAAAATTGCATCAAGAAAACGTTCTTGACCAGTTTACAGAGGTTGTTAAAGTTCAGTTTCTTTTTATGATTGCTTAGATTTTGAAATATCTAGATAAGAATGAAAACTCAGGCGGCTAATTATGAGAAGCATACTCTTGAAATCTATTTCCTGAACCTTTCTATCCGATGACAACACCTGTTATGACTGTGCGAGACTCAATATCTTTATTCTCTTGCTCTGTCATACTGGGTTAGTTCAATGATTTAAATTACAAAATATTGCGTGAAAGACGTAGCCGAGTTTTACACATGACCAAAACACAAATTATAAAACTGCGGAACTACAGATGCGACAGGAGTCGTTAAACTGATATCATTAAACTAAAACGATGAGTTTTAAACTCTCGAACGATAACACTGCCGAGAAAAAAACCGCGACGCAATTCTGTCCTTTAAGTCCATGTCGCAATAGCACAATAGATGTCGAATGAATCAATACATATTCTTATTTTTATGCAAATGTTACTTAATGGACGAAAACAAGTGAACTTAACATGTACGGGATATTTATCTTGCGAAAGAAAACGAAAAAGTCTCTTGAAGTTATATCATGAGAAGTTAACTGGCGATAGAGCTATTTCCTGTTATCGCGACGATTTTGTTCAAGCTTTCACCGGCTGAAACGATTCTGGACTTAAAAAAACGCATTTACAGCTTTCTGAAAATCTAATTAAAAAGAGACTGCAATCAGTTTTTGATTAAGATTTTTGTTATGGGCAGAGCTTAAGAGGAATCCATCTAATTGGGTGGCGTCAAGCATCTCCGATTCACTTTTGTCCTGTATTGTTGCTGTACACATGTGTACTGAGGAGTAATTCCCTAGAGATGCTTTAACCACTCGCTATTAATAGTATCACATTTCCTTTGCTTTTAATTTTCTTCGTTTTCATACGAGATTGAATATCTGGTAGAGACAGTTGTTTCGAAAGACAGACTTGTTTTGCATTGGGGTTCCAGTTCGACAAAGTACACTTTTCCTTAGTTAGTTTTACAAACGTTACAAACATGGCCAGTAAAGAAGGCGACTCAGGAGATGTTCCATCGGTGGCTGGTTCTTTGATTATGATCATCATCAACACCATTACTTGTCCATTCACAGTTCTGCTCAACGCGCTGGTGATAAAGGCCGTAAAAACGACGCCTGGACTCCGTACCAACAGCAACATCTTGTTGTCCTGTTTAGCGGTGACCGATGTATTAACTGGTCTCTTTAGCCAGCCATTCTTTATCCTGTGGCAGATTTTCCTACTACTCGGTCTCAGTAACAGTAAGACACTTCAGAAATGCTTTCAGGTATCTGTGATTGTATTGCAAACAGCTTCATACCTCTATCTGATGTTGGTTACTTTCGAGAGACTTGTAGCGATCAAATTTACGATGAAATATTCAAACATTATAACTGATGATAACATGAGGAGAGCAGTTTTATTAGTTTGGATCATTGCGTTCATCAGTGGGGTTTTAAGAGGGATGGAAATGGTCAGAGTAGCAAGTTCTTTGGCAGGTCTTCTTATTCTCACATGTATCTTTTTCCTTGCTTTTGTTTACGTCATCATGTATCGAGAAACACGTCGCCACCAAGAGAAGATAAAAAATCAACAATTGCCTCAAGAAGAAATGGAAAGATTTGCCAAAGAGAACAAGGCGCTGAAAACAACTTTGTTTGTTGTTGGTGCTGTTGTTATTTGCCTTCTCCCACTTTGTTTCTGTCTTATCGTTATAGCTACAGGCCTTTACAATGCAATTACTTGCCCGATCAACCAACCATTGGTGATAACATGTGCCATGTTAAACCCGCTTGTTAATCCACTGATCTACTGTTGGAGACAAAAGGAAATGAGAAAGGTCATTTTGGAATAAGAACCCAGGTCGTGCATTCAGAGATACAGTGAAGGAGGGAAATGTAAAGAAAAGAGTGAACAACTTGATAACTATATTTCTAGATTTTGCGTTGGCCTTTTTCATCCACTCTTAAACAACTCGCTGTTTGTTGTTCTATATGACAGTTAAGATTTTGATCACAAAAGGTAATTCAATAATCAACCTCGTGCAAGTTAGCAACATCGTTTGAAATCGGCAATCAGTGAAAGTCCTCTTTCTTTCAAACGGTGCTGGTGCTTGTCACAAATCTGCTCCCGGAGCGTTCTAGAATACGTGGTAAATGTATGTAAGGAATCAGTCGTGTTGTAGTAGTTTTTGTTGTTTCCGGGAGTGACCGACTGTTTGGAAAGCTATACCGAGAGAGTTACTGTGATACACTTCAGAGATTTTGTTTCGGGGAGCTTTTTCGACAACTGTGAGTTTGTCTGTGGCGGGCTAAGTTATAGTCTGTAGTGGACTTAAGTGAGTTTATTAAGGATAATTACTTTATTGCTTTTGGGAGTCGCTTCTCAATAAGAAAATTCCTCGTTGTTTGATAACATAGTTGGATTTGTAGGATGTTAGCGTTCTTTCTGTCAGATAATCTATACCGTAACAATATTGTCTGCGATGAAATGCAAATACAAATAAAAGCAATTCAAATAAATAAAGGCTTGGGATCCGATTTTGAGAATTTGATTCTTATTCAGATAATTGTATAGTTATGTAATAGTAATAATAGATTTTCAACGTGTTTTCTATAACCAAAACACCAGACTATCATATTAAGGAATAAAACTAAACAGAATGGCAATCAGAGGGGAGATAAGTTATTTTGGTTCTCTTGCATAATCGTAACATAACTTACTTCGGATGGAGAAATTCAAAGAATAGATTCCAAGAGTATGTGTCCTACAGTTAGCCGACAAAATTTTCATAATTTAAAATGACGCTACCTAGATATTCCAAAAACTCTGACAAAATTCTGCATTCTCCTACTCTACTGGATTTCTACACGCACGACCTGAGTTCTTATTCCAATACTAACCTTTCTCAGTTCTTTTTGTCTTCAGCAGTACTGAAATCAGTGGATTAACATGCGACTTAAGCATGATGCATCATGTTGCATCAATGGTACGTTGATGGGGCAAAAATCAGAATGGCCTTTTGCAGCGACAATAAGACAGAAATAAAGTGGAAGGCAAAGAAAACCAGCACCGGATACAAACATCTTCTCCTTTGGGTAGTCGCTGTGCTTTCAGTATCTTCTCTCGGCGGCGAACTGCCGCTCGATATATGATGAAGAACGCCAGATGAAGAAAGAGAATAGATGAAATGGCGAGAAGACAAAAGCTAAAACGAAAATGCTAAACGCCACCCAATAAGATGGATTTCCCTCAAGCTCTGCTCATAAATTAATCTTAATCCAAAAGTGACTTCCAGTTTCTTCCAGATATTGCCAAATGTGTTTTTAAAAGTCAAAATCGTTTCAGCCCCTGATAGCTTGATCGCCTGTTCACTTACTTCATCACATAATTCTGGACTTTTTCCCTACCATCTCTCGATAAATGTTTCGTGTTTCATGAGCTGAGTAATTCTCTTTCGTTAGATTAGATTTGCATTCAAACAAAAGCTGAATCTGTAAGATATAGATCAATTTATTTGACATCTGTCTTGGTTTAGTTTTTATATCGTGGCTACTTTAGCGCCATTTATTTGTGAATCATTGTGACTATAAAAAGTAAAAATACAGTTTGAGCACAGTTCATTCATGTTTTAATGATGCAAACCGAAAATTGCATCAAGAAAACGTTCTTGATCAGTTTACGGAGGTTGTTAAAGTTCAGTTTGTTGTATGATTGCTGAGACTTTTGAATATCTAGATAAGAATGAAAACTCAGGCGGCTACTCATGACAAATGTATGCTCTTGAAATCTATTTCCTGAACCTCTCTATCCGATGGCAAGCCCTGTTATATGCGAAACTCAATATTTTTATTCTCTTGCTCTGTCATACTGGGTTAGTTCAGTGATTTAAATTACAAAATATTGCGTGAAAGGAGTAGACGAGTTTTATCCATGACCAAAACACAAATTATAAAACTGCGGAACTACAGATGCGACAGGAGTCATTAAACTGATATTATTAAACTAAAACGATGAGCTTCAAAATACAAAATATTGCGTGAAAGACGTAGCCGAGTTTTACACATGACCAAAACACAAATTATAAAACTACGGAACTACAGATGCGACAGGAGTCGTTAAACTGATATCATTAAACTAAAACGATGAGCTTTAAACTCACGAACGATAACACTGCCGAGAAAAAAACCGCGACGCAATTCTGTCCTTTAAGTCCATGTCGCAATAGCACAATAGATGTCGAATGAATTAATACATATTCTTATTTTTATGCAAATGTTACTTAATGGACGAAAACAAGTGAACTTAACATGTACGGGATATTTATCTTGCGAAAGAAAACGAAAAAGTCTCCTGAAGTTACACCATGAGAAGTTAACTGGCGATAGAGCTATTTCCTGTTATCGCGACGATTTTGTTCAAGCTTTCACCGGCTGAAACGATTCTGGACTTATGAAAACACATTTACAGCTTTCTGAAAATCTAATTAAAAAGAGACGGCAATCAGTTTTTGATTAAGATTTTTGTTATGGGCAGAGCTTAAGAGGAATCCATCTAATTGGGTGGCGTCAAGCATCTGCGATTCACTTTTGTCCTGTATTGTTGCTGTACACATGTGTACTGAGGAGCAATTGCCAGGAGATGCTTTTACCACTCACTATGCCAGAGTGAGAGACGGGTTGGAAAAGCTGGTCCGAGGGTCAGACTTGAATTGCATTGAGATTTCAATTCGATATGGCAAACTTCTCCTTGGCTAGTTTTAAAAACACCACAAACATAACCAGAAGAGAAGGCGACAGAGATGTCCCATCGATGGCTGATTCTATAATCATAATCATCATCAACACCATCACTTTTCCCTTCACAGTTATTCTCAACTTACTTGTGATAAAGGCTGTAAAAACGACGCCTCGACTCCGTACCAACAATAACATATTGCTGGCCTGTTTAGCGGTGACTGACGCATTAACTGGTCTCCTTGGTCAGCCATTGTTTATCCTGTGGAGAATTTTCCTCATATTCGATCTCAGTAACAGTAAGACTGTTGGAACTTCTTTTATCTCGTTTCTACTTGTTATTCTTGTATCTTCCTACTTTCATCTGATGTTGGTTACTTTCGAGAGACTCATAGCCATCAAAGTTACAGTGAAGTACTCAAACATTATAACTGAGAAGAACATGAAGATAGCAGTGATAGTAGTTTGGATCACTGCGTCCTCTTATGGGGTTTTAAGAATGGGAAAGGTCAATACAGCACGTTATTTGAAGGGCCACTCGCCATTTCATGTATTCTCTTTCTTACTTTCGCTTACCTCATCATGTATCAAGAAACTGCTCGCCACAAAGAGAAGATAAAAACTCAACAACTGCCCCAAGATGTGGAAAGATATCTGAAAGAGAACAAAGCACTTAAAACAACTCTTTTTGTCGCTGGTGCTGTTCTTGTTTGCCTTCTTCCAGTTGGTTTCTTTTTGTTGTTGCAGTTGCGGGCCTCCGTGATATTTTCCCAATAAACTTACCATTGATATTTACATGTGCCATGCTGAACTCGCTTGTTAATCCACTGATTTACTGCTGGAGACAAAAAGAAATGAGAAATGTCATTTTCGGAATGAGAACTCAGATCGTGCATTTAGACGTACAAAACCGATAAACGAAACTCGTTAGTTATTGTTTTGAGACTTGTACTTTCTATTACCAGAAGTAAATCGATAATTAACCTCGTGCAAAATTGCCAACATCGGAGGAAATTGGAAATCAGTGCAAATTCTTTCTTTCAAACGGTGTTGGTGTTTGTCCCAATTTTGAACTAGACTTTGACTTTTATAACGCAGATTTCGAATGTCTTAAGAGGTGTCGGTTGTGCGATTTGATTGGCTTTTAGGAAACCATATAGTCGAGAGCATTTATTAAGAAAATCGTTCTCGAACTTTAGTAAAACTACAGAGAATCAGCTTCTTCTGAATCTAGTTTTATTGTTGACAAAGCCGAATATCAAATTAATTATGCTGCTTAGAATGATTAGTGAGACTAAAGTGTCCAGCGACTGGTTTAGATGCGTCCTTGTCATTCCTTTCTACGTCGCGAAGGTGTTCTCGGAGTTGGTCACCAAGTCGTCTTCCCGTTTCACCAATGTATAACTTTTTGCAAAAAGTGCAAGTTATGCAGTATATGGTATTGGCGGAGGGGCAGGTGATAAGTCCAGCGATCTTAATGGATTTCCTACGAATGAAAAGAAAGGTTTTGCATTGTGAGCGAGCGCATTTGAAAGTTCTAGGTTGGTAATTAGTTTGAAATGAACTTCTGACCAAAAAGTTGCCTATGTTTTAATCGCGTTTGAATGAAATTAGTGGATGTTATGAAAAGATAGTGCCAGTCTATAATTCAAGAAGCAAGATTTCGCTGTTGGATCGGAGTCAAGGGGTCGTTTTCACAGCCTTTATTACTAGCACGTTAAGGAGAATTGTGAAGCGAAAAGTGATGCTGTTAATGATGATGATGATAATGTAACTAACCTCTAGAGGGACATAAGCTGTTTCGCCTTCTGCACTAGCCATCTTGGTAGCGTTTGTAAATTAAGCTCGGAGTAGTTATGCACGTTAAATATCCAGTGAAGTTCACATGAATCTTTTAGTGCCGTGCTGTCGTCCGGAGGCTTTTACAGAAGCGATCCACTTAACTGTGCATATTCTTCCACTTGCGTAATTCATGAGGTTGTTGATTTTGTCGGAAATCATAAAATGGAAAAAAAAAACTCAAAAAGAGTTTTGTGAGAGAAAATCGCCTTCAATCATTGAAATTAATTTGCTAAAGATTGTGAATTAATCATAAATAATGAAATTGTACGCTACAAGTACGGAAATAGGGGATTGTATCATATTGTAATTGATGTAATGTTAAGCAAAGCTAATGAGGGTTAGCGATTTTGGTACACATAATTAATGTTAGACTCAGTGAAAGTACTGACAGCCGGTTATCTTATGATCTTAGATAAAATCATCGGGTAATTGTTGTCGTACTTGCGTAAAATTGCTGAGAACCAGATTTTATTGAATCTAGTTATATTTTTGTGTATTAATTTAGTTTTGTAAATCTAATTTAATTTTCTTCACCAAACTTTCAAAACGTCTCGATAAAACAATGGAGAGCCTTGATATGTACATGTCGTATTTTTTTTTCTTAGCTAGCTGGACACTTAAATAAGGTTCATTGTTTTCACATCTGTTGTTCTTTTTTGGCAAGCTTCAAAATAAAAGAAGTAACTTTGATTTTTTAGGGGAATTATTTCTCGTTCACTACTCCAGTTTATCTTTAGATCATAGCGCTGGCATCTTTCATGCATAAATACATACATAGATACATATATCCTTTATTTTGTGAAGCAGGATTATTACATTACGTGATCAGTATATGGCAACTTTGGTATATGATCTGTTTTCGTACAGTATCTTTTTCAGATTTGTTTGCTTAGTTTCCCCGGCTACATACCTCTGAATACCTGGATGCAAGACATGAATCCATTTTCTAAATAGAGGCTTTCTTATTTCTTTCTGCCTCAAGCAGTAAATCATGCTCATGGAATAACAAGCAAGTTTAACATGGAATATGAAAATATGAATACTAAATAATAGGAAAAATATTATAGAGGCCCGTGGCTAAAAAAAGAAAGGGAAAGAAAAAACTGTAAGAAGAAAAAAAGATAACTGTACAAAAAATAAAATGAAAAATTGTCTTTAACGCCTTTTTTGTCTTTGGTAAGTCATTCCGCTTCTTCTAAGGACAATCGCTGTCCTTTTATTTCCATATATGGCAGCGTGTTTCATGACGCAAAATCTCCTAAGAGAAGGCATGGAAACGATGTGTGAAATAACAACAAGGCCTGTTATAGAGCGTGATGCTGAATACATTTCCCCTCCCTGAAAAAGTTCTCTGTTTCTTTTATAAAATATTTCTCTCTCATAACTTTTCAAATAAAGTAGCCGTTTTTCTTTTATTTCTTGATTGACATAGATTTTCTTAGTACATGCCCTGTGCGATAGCGCTCCCTACTAGCCAATCAAATGGCGTAGCTAACAACATCTAAAACCATCAAATTTTCTTTGATAAATTAAAAGTCATGATGACAATTGAAATTTGGAGCAAGTGCCAGTACGGTGTGAATGAAACTATTTCGACTGATTGCCAATTTCCAAACATGTTAGTACTTTTGCATAAAATTAATTATCGATTCCTGTCTTCTGATCAAAAATGTAATTGTCGTATAAAAAAAAAATGACTAAGGAATTTCATTTATCGGTGGATAGAAAAGGCCAAAGTAAAATCTAGATATATTTTCAAGATGTTCGCCCTTTTCTTTATATTTCCCTCCTTCAATGAATGTCTACATACACGACCTGGGTTCTTATTCCAATGATGTCCTTCCTCAGTTCCTTTACTTTTGTCTCCAGCATGCAGTAAATCAGTCGATTATCGAGTGGGTTTAGCATAGTATATCATGTTGCATCAATGATAGTTTGATGGGGCAAATATCGTAAAGGCCTCTTGCTGTAAATACAAGACAGAACTAAAGTGGAAGAAGGCAAACGAAACCAGCACTGACTACAAAAAAAGTTGTCTTAGGCGCCTTTTTGTAAATCTTTCCACTTCTTCTTAAGGAAGTTGCTGTGTTTTTATCTATTCTTTGTGGCGAACAGGTTTCTCGATACATGATGAGGTGAGCGAAAGCAAGAAATAAAATACATAAAATAACGAGAAGAACAAAGCTGAATCGGAAGTGCTAAACGCCACCCAATCTGATGGATTTCCCTCAAGCTCTACCCGTAGATTGATGTTAATCCATAAGTGAAAGAGGTCAATTTTTAATCAGTTTTTTTCAGATATTGCCAAATGTATTTTTAAAAGTCGAAATTGTTCGGCCCCCGATAGCTTGATCACGCTGTTCAATTACGTCATCACATAATGCAGGATTTTTTTTATTATCCATCTTCCGATAAATGTTTCGTGTTTCATTGGCTGACTAATTCTTTCTCGTTAGATTAGATTTGCATTCAAATAAAAACTGAATCTGTGACATATATTGCGTTGTGGTGGCGGCTACCTACTAGAAATGTACTCTTGAAATCTATTTCCTGAAACCTTTTATGGGAGACTCATTATATAATTTTATTATCTTGCTCTGTCATACTGGATTAGTTTAGTGATTTATCTGTCGAAATACTGCATGGAAGAAGTAGCCGAGTTTTACACATTACCAAAACACAAATTATAAAATTACGGAACCACAGATGTGAAACGAGTCAATAAACTGATATCATTAAGCTAAAACGGTGAGGTTTAAACTCATGACAGATAACAATGCCAAGGAAAAACTGCGACGGAATACTTTTCCGCCCATGGCGCAGTAGCACAATAGATGTCGAATGAATTAGTACATACTTCTCTTTTTATGTAAATATTAGTTGATAGACGAAAACTATTGAGCTTAACATGCGCGATATATTTGTCTTGCGAAAGAAAACGAAGAAGTCTCCACAAGTTGTAACATGAGAAGTTAGCAAGCAATAGAACTATTTTCAGTTATCGTGACAATTTCCTTCAAGCCTTTTACCGGCTGAAACGATTTTGGTCTTATAAAAACACATTAGAGCTTTCTGAAAATCTAATTAAAAAGAGACCGCAATCAGTTTTTGATTAGGATTTTCGTTTTGGACAGTGCTTAAGAGAAATCCATCCAATTGGGTGGCGTCAAGCATTTCCAATTCACTTTTGTCCTGTATTGTTGCTGTACACATGTGGACTGAGGAGTAATTCCCAGGAGATACTTTTCTTTTAATTTTCTTCGTTTTCACTCGAGATTGAATGTCTGGTAGAGACAGTTGTTTCAAGAGACAGACTTGATTTAATTTGCATTGGGGTTCCAGTTCGACAAAGTAAACTTTTCCTTGTTTAGTTATACAAACGTTACAAACATGGCCAGTAAAGAAGGCGAGTCAGGAGATGTTCCATCGGTGGCTGGTTCCATGATTATAATCATCATCAACACAATTACTTTTTGTCCCTTCATAGTTTTGCTCAACGTGCTGGTGATAAGGGCTGTAAAAGCGACGCCTGAACTCCGTACCAACAGCAACATCCTGCTGTCCTGTTTAGCGGTGACCAATGCATTAACTGGTCTCTTTTGCCAGCCATTCTTTATGCTGTGGCAGATTTTCCTATTACTCGGTCTCAGTAACGGTGAGATACTTCAGAACTGCTATCAGGTATTTGTGGTTGTATTGCAAACAGCTTCATACCTCCATCTAATGTTGGTTACTTTCGAGAGACTCATAGCGATCAAATTTACGATGAAATACTCAAACATTATAACTGATGATAACATGAGGAGAGCAGTTTTGGTAATTTGGATCATTTCGTTCATTAATGGGGTTTTAAGAGGAATGGAAATGGTCAAAGTAGCACGTTCTTTGGCAGGACTTCTTACTCTGTCATGTATCCTTTTCCTTGCTTTTAGTTACTGCATCATGTATCGAGAAACACGTCGCCACGACTGCCCAAAGAAGAAATGGAAAGATTTGCCAAAGAGAACAAAGCGCTGAAGACAACTTTGTTTGTGGTCGGTACTGTTGTTATTTGCCTTCTTCCACTTTGTTTCTGTCTTATCGTTATAGCTACAGGCCTTTACAATGCAATTATTGGCCTGATCAGCCAAACATTGGTGATAACATGTGCCATGTTAAACCTGCTTGTTAATCCACTAATTTACTGCTGGAGACAAAAGGAAATGAGGAAGGTCATTCTTGGAATAAGAATCCAGGTTGGGCATTCAGAGATACAATGAAGGAGGGAAATGTAAAGAAAAGAGTGAACAACTTGATAACTATATTTCTAGATTTTGCGTTGGTCTTTTCCATCAACTTTTAATGAACTCGCTAGTTGTTCTTTTATATGACAATTACGATTTTGGTCACGAAAGGTAATTTGACAATCAACCTTGTGTAAGTTACCAACATCGTTGGAAATCGGCAATCAGTGGAAGTCCTTTCTCTCAAACGGTGCTGGTGCTTGCCACAAACTTGCTTCCGGAATGTTCTAGAATACGTTGAAAATGTGTACAAGGAATTAGCCGTGTAGTTGTTGTTTTTGTCATGTTGCGGGCAGTGACGAATTGTCTGGAAAGCTATACCGTGAGAGTTACCGTGATATACTTCAGAGAAATGTTTTTAGGAGACTTGTTGACAACTGTGAGATTGTATCAGTGGTGTGCCAAGTTAGAGTCTGTAGTGAGTTTAAGTGAGTTGATTAAGGATAATTACCGTATTTCTTTTAGGAGTCGCTCCTTAATAAGAATATTAAAATTGTTCGTTGGTTAATAAAATAGTTGAGTTTGTGGGATTTTAGCGTTCTTTCAGTCTTCTAAACCATACCGTAACAATATTGTTTGCGTTGAAATGCAAATACAAATAAAAGCAATTGGCATAAAATTAGAGACTCTGGATCTGATTTCGAAAATTCGATTCGTATTCAGATAATTGTATAATTGAAGTGTTAGGCAGTTTCATTAATTCAGGTTATCAAATATATAGTTTTTCAACTTGTTTTCTGTAAGCAAAACAACACACTTAAGGAATAAAACCAAACAGAACAGCAATCAGAGGGAAGATAAGTTATTTTTGTATTCTTGAATAGTCAAAACATAACTTACTTCGGAAAGAAGAACTAAAAGAATATATCTCGAGGGTATTTATCCCGTAGCTAACCAACTAAATTTCCACAGTTTAAAATGACCCTATCTAGATATTCTAAAAAACCTAACAGCCTCCATAGGCTAGTAAACAACGTTTTCTCGATATCATTTTTGTTTGGATTACAACATGTTCAAAATTGTGAATAATTCGATCTTCAGAGTGGCTGTGCTCAAACGGTATTTTTTCTTTCTTGCCCTCCCATCCCTGTTTTTTTTTTTAAATTTAAGGAATATTGCATGGGAAAAGTAAAGGGTTTTGCTCATTACTACAATTCAGATTATAAAATCACAACACACTGGAGATAACAACAGTTAGGCTTGTCCCGATTGTGCTCGTGAAATGCTGGAGGGTTTCTCTCTAAAATGCTTTAAAATTGCTATTAAATCTGGAAAAATCCAGAAATTGCTATCTTGATTTCAAAAGTTACTGGTTAAATTTGTTGATGGTTTTGAATTAGCGTTAATTGAAAGCTTTATTTTTCGGTCTTCACAATAATTGCTAATAAGATCGGTCGAGAAAAATAGCTTGAAACTTTGCTTTAAAGAGTTACTTGCAAATATGGGCGAAATTTAAGAATGGTCTTAAGTCTAACAGAACAAATCACAAGGTTTATTTGACTTCTTTCCGAAAGTCAATTTAGCCGATCATCTTAGATAAGGATCGCAATATTTGTTCCAAAGGTTGATAAAAATTAATGAAATTCACATAAATTGAAGTTTTCTATAAAGTTGTTGACTTTTTTGGTCTTGATATGAGCTCTAACTTGTATTTTGCTCACAAATTGCTCAAAAAGGTAAAAAAAGAATATGCTCGAGATTGCTGGGAACGTCAAAAGTTGCTGAGATGTTGTCGAGCACTATCAGGAATAGGCCTAACACCGGTGCGAAAGAAATTTATATTTTTAATGAAAGTCTTTAATTGCAGACGAACCTAAGGCGGCGAGCTTTTGACTCACAGTAATTCAATGGTAAATGGCGATGAAAAAGACCCGATGCATATCCTTGTCTCTAAGCCCATGGCGGCAAGGCAAAATAGACGTCAAGTGAACTCATAAAACAAATTTTATTTCAATGGAAATCTAAATAAAACTTACCAACTTTTTAAAAACACATTTGGCAATATCTGGAAAGGCTAATTAAAATTTACTTTAATCACTTTTGGATTAAAATTTACTAATAAGAAAAGATTGAGAGAAATCCATCTGATTGGGCAGCTTTGAGTGTTTCTGATTCAGCTTGGTCATGTATTGTTGCTGGGCATATGTGAAATGAGAAATTATTCCCAGGAAATGTTTGAACCACCCACTAGAAAAGGCTGTAGATTTTTTGGCCTTTGCTGTTCTCTGATTTCATGCCAGAGTGAGCGACGGGTTGAAAAAGTTAGTCCGAGGATCAGACTTACCTTGCACTGAGATTCCAATTCGACATGGTAAACTTTTCATTGACTAGTTTTACAAACACTACAAACATAACCAGAAAAGAAGGCGACAGAGTTGTACCATCGATGGCTAATTCTATAATCATAATCATCATCAACACCATCACTATACCCTGCACAGTTATTCTTAATGTACTTGTGATAAAGGCTGTAAAAACGACGCCTCGACTCCGTACCAACAACAACATATTGCTGGCCTGTTTAGCGGTGACCGACGCATTAACTGGTCTCCTTGGTCAGCCATTGTTTATCCTGTGGAGAATTTTCCTTATATTCAATCTTAGTAGCAGTAGGACGGTTGGAACTTCTTTTGTCTCGTTTCTACTTGTTACTCTTGTATCTTTCTACTTTCATCTGATGTTGGTTACTTTCGAGAGACTCATAGCTATCAAAGTTACAATGCTGTACTCAAACATTATAACTGAGAAGAACATGAAGATAGCAGTGATAGTAGTTTGGATCACTGAGTCCATTTATGGGGTTTTAAGAGGAACGGAAAAGGTCAATACAGCACGTTATTTGACAGGGCCACTCGCCATTTCATGTATTCTCTTTCTTACTTTCGCTTACCTCATCATGTATCAAGAAACTGCTCGCCACAAAGAGAAGATAAAAACTCAACAACTGCCCCAAGAAGATGTGGAAAGATTTCTGAAAGAGAACAAAGCACTTAAAACAACTCTCTTTGTCGTTGGTGCTGTTTTTGTTTGCCTTCTTCCAGTTGGTTTCTTTTTTGTTGTTGTAGTGGCGGGTCTTCGTCATATTTTCCCCATAAACTTACCACTGATACTTACATGTGCCATGCGAAACTCGCTTGTTAATCCATTGATTTACTGCTGGAGACAAAAAGAAATGAGAAATGTCATTTTCGGAATGAGAACTCAGGTCGTGCATTTAGACGTACAAAACCGATAAACGAAACTCGTTAGTTATTGTTTTATATGAGACTTGTATTTTCTATCACGAGAACGAAGTAATTGGATAATTAACCTCATGCAAAATTACCAACATCGGAGGAAATCAGCAATCAGTGGAAATCATTTCTTTCAAACGGTATTGGCGTTTGCCCCAATTTTGTATTTGACTTTGATTTTTTATAACGCAGATTTCGATTTCTCAAGAGGTGGCAGTTGTGTGATTTGATTGGCTTTTAGGAGACCATATCGTCGAGAGCATTTATTAAGACAATCGTTCTTTAACTCTAGTAAAACTACAGACGACCAGCTTCTTCTGAATCCAGTTTCATTGTTGACATAGCCGATGGTCAAATTAACATACCGGCTTCACCGAACTTTCTACAACTTTCGATCATGCGAGTGGGACTTTTGATATCCACCTGCTTTTGTTTTTTTAAGAGCTGGGAAGCCATTTCTCACACACCTGATGTTGTATTAAAGTATTGCGACTCGCAGAGACTATTTTTAAAATACCTTATCGAAGCTATGGCAACCAACCTTAATATCTTTTGTAATACTTGTACCCATAGTATAATTGTATCTTAACACGATTCAGTCTACGGATGTTACTATCCAAATAAAGCTATTTTTAAGACGAATTCTATTCTATTCTGTTGTTCACAGCGGCGTCAATAAAAAAGCTTTGAAACAATAACCTCGATTTGTTCCTACTTTTTGAGAGTATTGCGATGCATAAGAGAAGAGTGAAGGTAAGTCCTGTGAAGCTTTCTTGGTTTTTAAAAGTTCAGTTGCCGGAGATCACTGATATCCGGAGAACAATGTCGGATTTACGCCCTTCAGTTAGATATGCAAGTGCTCTAGTTTCCCTCCTCGTGATACTTGCTTTTGTTCTATTGGTCGTCGTGGTTGCTTTGATTTTGTATTTTTAAAATTCAATTGAAAGGCGTTCCAGGTAGAAGGTATTATCATTTTGATGACTATCATGCAGGAAGTCGATCGGAAAGGCTACAAGCTAATAACAGGGCTGCCTGAAGGACTATAATTGTTGAAAGCTAAAAAGAGTTGAACTAAGAATAATCTCTCAAATAAAATTTGGTTCATGTTCATCTCCCATAATCGATGCAAGTTATTTAAGTTCATATATTTCTTCGACGCATTCGATTATCTCGCTTCTTTGGATTGTTAGGAAAAATATCATACACGAACACGCTAGTCAGTTGCTGGTTAACTTGTACTTGATACAGGTTGGGTTGTATAATTTTGAGATTTAATTTAGCATTTTGATATTTGAAAATTGCTTGCTCAATTGATATCTTGATTTGACTACAATATTTACACAATTACCGAACTATACAGAGTGACCTAATACTACCAATAGATCAATACAGACCAATCACGGCCGACTTGCAATAATACAAGCCAATCACATTACGACTACAGACCAATCAGTTTACACGGACCGGTCGTTCAACACTCGAGTTATACCAGCTTCTCATTTGGTAATGGTATTAAATCATTATACGTATTATATCGTACGATATTAACGAGAACCCAATCAAAGCCATCCATCGCTTGATAAAAAATCCGTGTTTTTTAACTTTTGAAGGCAGCAAGCGAAACCCGTTTAAAAATAATAAGAGCGAACCTGTATGATGCATAGCAAATTACTACTTCGTTGAGGGTTAAGTGTGTTCTCGCCGTGTTTGTCAGTTCTGCTAATCTCCGAGGCATTATCTAATCTATATTGTTAAATTTGTTAGTCCGTGTAATACATTGGTAGCGTTTGCGCTCTCTAAATCGGCGGTGCGGGGTTCGATTCCTGCTCACCACGGGAACGTCATCTTTTTTTTTTCTTGATCTGACGAAGTTTACAAAATAATTTAATATCTAGTATACTTTTTTTTTATTAACTGACAGTCTATTTGCCAAGTTTTAAGTGTAATCATTGCCTTTGACTGTCGTTAATTAACCTGTTTGTAAATGCATAATTTTGGGCAGCTAAAGGATTTTCTAGTCTGCGTTTTATGCCTTCATTACTCTCTTCATAATTAGCAATATTTATATGCTAGGATTTGCCAAAATCAAACCAACTTAGAACGCGGTTTTGTTGAACAAGGCTAAACTCTTTTCAATTAACCGACCCATTTTTAATAGAAATGATAGACTAATTGTGCCATCTCAGTGTTTTCAAAACATGCCGATTTACAGAGAGTGTCGAACAGCGACCGCGTCAATCAGGAGACATGGAGCCGGAAATCTGTAGCTGAAGGTTCACAAAGATTCGGTACTGGGCATATTAACTGCGTGAAGCGATAATATAAGCGAATTGTATTTTAAAAGGTTAAATTAAGTTTGAAAAAGAAATTAATGTGTTCAAACTGAGCTTCTCTAGACCTTGTGAAACACGTCGTGCTCACTGAATTCCTTGTAAGAATCCTGAGGGGGCCTTTACGGCTCTAGTGCGCAATCCCATAGAAAACTAAAATGAAAGCTGACGGGTGTAGGGCCGGACGTTTTTGGGTGAGCCGGTCTTGAAAAGTCGTCAGCCGTACACTCACATGGCTTTATTGAAAAAGACTTAAAGGAAAAATAAAAGAGTAAAAAAATTCGCGTTTTTCATTGAATAGTGAGTTTCTTGTTCTGACTCGAAAAAATAAACGGAACGTTTTTACTTCAGATTCTTTTTTAGGGATTGTCCTGCGTGCACATGTCTATCTCGTGCTGCTAAACTTGAAAAAATATTTCGACGTGGTCATTTAATAAAATTCTTATCGACTGAGTTTCGTCTGGCCGAATGGGAAAATATTTGGCTCTCGGTCACGAATTCGAAGTGCGGTTCTCACTGCGCTCCGTCCGCAGGTCATAACCTCGAGCCAAATATTTAAATATTTCCCCCCACTCACTCAATAAATACATATTATTTTACATCTATTTTTGTTTGACGCCCGGCGCTTAAACACAAGAATTTGCATTAAATTTTTTTTGACTACCATCTTTGTATAAATCATTGTAAGTTTAAAGCTCACCTTTTTTAGGTTCGTTTTTGGACTACCACTGAAAATACCATATAATTTGATATCGGTCTCAGTTTTAGTGTTTTGTTGAAAGCGAAGACACAGAAAAGCTAGCAGTATCCAGTACATTCGATGCGTTGTTAATTTTTGAAAATGATGGAAACAAATTTTGAATCGAGAAATTGTTGTTAACCCCGTTTACGAAGCTTGTTGGAGTTTTGTCTTACGATTGATAACACTTGGAATATCTAGATAAGAGGTGGTTTCATTTTTCATACTAGAAATTCGGTTTTTATTTCAGGAGTAAATGAAAACAATTACTGTCAGAGCGTACTTTCATTAAAGCTCACAAAATTTACAATAAAATCGTTAACTCACGCTAATTTAATATAACGGAACTGTATATCAATTAGACTACAATCACTTACTTATTATTTAATATTCACTCACTTACAAATCTAATTTAGTGAACTTTCTCCTTATTCATGGTGAATTCATTATTTTACTTTGAATGCGGTGAAAAGGTAATATTCTCACACAACTCTTGAGTTTTTTGTCCTATTTAAGCTTTTTTAAGTCCAACCAAACTTATTTCCAACAAAATCAACAAACTTATCATGAACTACATAATTAAGAATTACTGTAATTCATGCACAAGAAAAAGGCAAATGGAAACACAAGCACTCTAATGTGGAGTATTCTGAAAAAGCCACTGGAAAACATATAAGACCCAGGGTATTTCTCACTAATTGGCCTCACGTTTAGAAAATAGTTAGAAATTTACCGAATTTTTTTATCTAGAGCCATAAAACAGAAAGAAAGCGTTTCATTTTAATGTGACAAAAATCCAAAGGTTGCATTAAAAATTATTATCACAAGAAACTTTAGGCCACCGTAAAAACATAATTGACATGAAAAACAATAACTAAGGAGTCTTGTTTATCTAGTTGCTGGAAAAGACGTAAGAACAATTTTACATGTGTAGTTATCAAGTTGTTAGCCTTTCTTTTACATTGCCCTCCATTACTGGATATCTACATGCACGATCTGGGTTCTTAGTCCAAAAATGACTTTTCTCATTTCTTTTTGTCTCCAGCAGTAAATCAGTGGATTAAGAAGCGAGTTTAACATGGAATATGTTAACCTCCATCGTGTGTCGATGGGGCAAATCTCATAGAGGCCTGTAGCTGTTACGATAAGACAGAAACAAACTGGCAGAAGGACAAAAACTGCAGCACCAACTATAACCACAGTTGTCCTAAGAGCCTTGTTCTCTTTGACAAACCTTTCTACTACATCTTGGCGAAGTTGTTGAGCGATTATCATTCTTTGGTGCCGACGTGTCTCTCGATAGATGATGAAGTAAGTGAAAGCAAGAAAAAGAGTACATGAAATAGTGATAAGGCCTGTAAAAAAACGGGCTACTATCAAGAAAGTTATTCTTAAAATCCCATTGATGAAAGCAAAGATCCAAACTAATAGCACTGCTATCTTCATGTTCTTATAAGTGACAATATTTGAGTATTGCATCGTAAATTTGATGGCTATGAGTCTCTCGGACGTAACCAACATCAGATGAAAGAATGAAGCTGTTAATATTACAGTTAGAGATTTGAAACAGAAATGTTCAACCGTGTCACTGTTACTGAGACCGAATGATAGGAATAATGTCCACAGAATAAACAATGGCTGGCAGAGG